ATGTTCTTCTGAAGATCACTTTAAGTCCACCTTGAATATCCTGCCATTATGAACTTTACCAAAATAGCTATTGCATGTGTTAATCTGTTTGTAATTTTTACTATTTCAGATACATACTTCTTATCTTCTCTACCTTATCAATTTTTACACTTTGCTAGAATTATTTTTATTTTTTAAATCCAAAAAGAGCACTCAAAATAAGCATTTGTTGAGTACCTGCATTTATTCCACAAAGCAACAATATAAGAAGTAGCTGTGTTTGCCTTGTATTACTTATGATAAAGGGGTTAATGCTTTAACACTTATGTGAAGCCATATTCCCAACATTTGGAATCCTCATAAAGTTAAGGAAAGCTGAGAGTCTAGGTTCCATTTTTCTCTTCATTACTCTTTTTTTCCTATCTGAAATACTGGATTTCCTGAATTTAGCATTTAGTTATATGATGCTCCTTTGGGGAACCAACTCCCACTCATATTTATGTCTTCTCTACCCAATAAGATTATAAGTTGTAGGCAACCCCCTCAGGTTCTCTCCTACTGTGGGAGCTTTTCTGACCTCTCAATAAACCCTGTTTTAAAAAAATTAAAAGCTGCAGCCAAGGGAGTAATTTAAATCTCAAGCTGTTAGAAATCTCTCCCTTTACTGAATACCACAGTTAAACTTTAAGAGATACTTGCCCGTAGCGAATTTGGCAGTTTAAGACATACCTCTCTTACAAGTCTGGTCTAATTTTACTATTAAAACATACCAACTAGAAATAACAAGAGTTAGCTATTGAAGTTCAGCTCTAAGTTCTACAAGCAACCTTCCAGACTGCTCATGATATTTCTAACAAAATAGCTCCAGAATAGGCTGAAGCTACTCTGTAAGGAATTCTATTGCCTCAAAGCTGAATGCCTTATTTCTCACATCCCAGGATTATTTCCAGCAACAAGAAATGGAAGAGATGTAAGGAATTAAATATACATTTGAGTCTAATTATGACACTAGAACAATTTTGCAAAGGCCTAGAATTAAGCATTCTTACTTAATAAGATCATTTCTAACCTTATTCCTCAAATGCAGCTAATTTTTCACTCTAGGCAATATGGGTAGAGATTATAAAGTGACAGAAGAAATGTTTCCCTTAATTAACAAGATACTACCAGACTAGTACTTACTTGATCTGTTCAGCTGATCCTCCAGAAGTTGCATTTGTGATTGCCCAAGCTGCTTCTTTCCTTGTCCGGAACTCAGCAGTTTGTAATATACTAATGAGGGCTGGAAAAATGTTGGCATCTATCACTGTCTGAAATTAAAGAAAAATTTAAATGGAAAAGGAGAAAAAGGTTTGTAAAAATGTTCATGATACTACTAGTAATTTTTAAGCTAGCTTCACAATTGATACCACTCCACTTTCAAAAGTAGACTGGAAAGAATTAAATCCTCATTATCCATAACCTTTAGTCTATGCTTGGTAACTTTAATAACATCCTCCCTGGAGTTAGTGATCTTATAGCCTCCTAATTTTCACCCTGGATTCTTTTCCCTTTTATTTCCCCCTCTTTTTCTACACACAGTAACAAATTATGAAAGTTCAATTTTGTGTTCCTCTCCAGTTCTTATTTGTTTCATAGCATCTGATCTTGCATGTGTGTTGAAACTGTCTAATCCTCATTGCTCATTGGAGCTTCAGCCCAGAGTAGTCAGCAGTTTACCTGAGGTCTACTAGTCACCTCAGACACATCAACTGCCCTCTGTATTTCCTTTTAAGCCACCCTAGTTCACAAAGACTAATGATTTACTTATTCTAAATAAGCCTTATATAAGGTTGAATGATGTACTTTCACTCACATATTAACACTACACTACTAATAATACACTAACAATATAGTCTTCCCCAAATTACTTTCTTTGTGTTTCTCCTTGGCTCAACTACCCAAAATGGGTTCATATCATTTCCTACATCAAGAAACTGAGTTCTAGCCGGGCTCGGTGGCTCAGCTTGTAATTCCGTGCCTTTGAGAGGCTGAGGTGAGTGGATTGCCTGAGCCCGCAGGTTCAAGACCCACCTGGGCAGCGAGACCTCATCTCTACAATAAATCAAAAAACCAGCCGGGCGTGGTAGCGCATGCCTGTAATTCCGGCTACTTGGAAGGCTGAGGCGGAAGAATCGCCGGAGCCCTGCAGGCCGAGGCTGCGGTGGCCAGGAGCGGCCACTGCACTCCAGTCTGGGTGACAGAGTGAGACTCAAACTCCAAAAAAAGAAAGAAAGAAACTGAGTTCTGCACAAAAGTCTGGTGGTAGCAGGCAATAAACTATAGATGAAATCACCTCATATGCATGCTAAAAGTTGCATAGCTATCAATCTCAGTCCCTAATTCAGCATCGTGGGGACATTAACCATGTTTTCCTGGTCAAGAACTCTTTCTATTATACCAGTGAAAGAAGTCAGCAAAGCTTAGTGGAAAGACACCTAATCTTGGTCCTGTCATTTCCTAGAGGTCCTCTTGAGCCAGTCACTTTATTTCTTTGAGTCTCAGTTTCATCTTTTGTTTTCTAAATTTTATTTTTATTGACAAATAATAATTTTATGTGTTTATGGGGTACAATGTAATGCTCTGATATAGGTATATACTGTGGTAAATGAGAATGTTGGATTAGATGACCTCTGTTTTCACTCATCTCCAAGTCTCCTAAGTCTGTGTTATATCTTTTCTGAACCATTATTCCAGCCTTGATTACTGCCTATGCTGAACTCTTTGGCCTGTTGCTTGTCTTCCACTGGGTTACTCTCCAGCTGATAAAAAGGCAAAAGTAAAGGACAGAAAACCATTTAAAGAATCAAAGTTTTATGAAAAACTGAAGCAGGCTGGGCACAGTGGCTCACGCCTATAGTGTCAGTACTTTTACTTGAGTCCATGTTTGTGACCCACCTGGGCAACACAGCGAGACTAACGAGACTCCATCTCTACAAAAAAATTTAAAATTAGCCAAGAGTGGTAACACACACCTGCTACTCAGAAGGCAGAAATGGGAGGACTGCTGGAGTTCGTAAGTTTGAGGTTACAGTGAACTAGGATCGTGCCACTGCACTCCAGCCTAGGTGACAGAGTAAGATCCTATCTTAACCCCCCTTCCCACTTAAGAAATTTAAAAAATGTACTACATCGGACCTTTGGAAGAAAAATATTTTATTTGGAAAGAAAAGAGTAAAGCCAATCTGTTTACTATACTATAAATTCTGTCAAGCATTTTGAAATACAAGATGCTATTTCTTGGATCTTGACAAATCATCAAATAGTAGTGGCAATAGGAAGAACCAAGGCCCAGGTGTAAATTTCAAATGACTTAACATCAATAAGCTAGGATACAACAAGTAAGAAGTAGACTAAAAAATAAGACAATAAGGATGGAAGTTAGTGGTCTTCAAGGTAATAATGAAAACAATGTATATCTTAAAGGATGACTGAAAAATCTTATTTATCAATAAAAATGTAGAAAGGGTATATGAAATTGATTACCTGGATCTGAGCCCTATTTCCAGCTGTAATATTAGATATTGTCCAGCATGCTTCCTTTTTGATGGATTCCTTTGGGCTACTCAGCAAATGCAATAAACTCTGCAGAGCTGAGCAATTCAAAATTACCTGAAACGAAAAGTTTGAAATTTTTACTTGCTATACTGTTCCAAAGTAAATCTTTAACTCAAAGAACTTATTTTAGGAAAAGTATAGGCAAAGAAATACATTTCTCCTTGAACTATTAAAAATAAGTAACTTTATATATACATATAAAAGTATTCACCACTAATATGAATTAGTTTCTAAGATTATCAAACCAGTTTCATTGCATAGTTCACAACTGCTAAAACAGTACTTATTAGACACAGTAATGTTATTATAAGTAATTACAACAGTATTTACTCATTCACCTTCCTCTCCCTATAGCATAAGTGTTCTGGATGGGTAAATATACCAAGTGGCTGGAAAATCAGAAATAGTCTCAGATTCTTAACTCCTCTGATAACTCTCTACCTGGTAGTCATTATACTTAATGAACTGTATCAGGTGCTTTATAGGATACAAAGATATAAAAGATATGATTCCTGCTATC